CAGGAATCCCTAATTGCACCTAAACCTACAGATATGAATGGGGCCTTATTGTGTGTGTATTGGGGTCCGTAGTACCATATCGCATATAGTTACATTTTATTTTAAAAGGAGAAATATGGGGTAAATGCTTTTCCCCATAGTTCTCCTCAGGGTCACGGGAGGACATAAACTAGCATCCTCCCGTGACCCAAAGCTCAGTATATAGGGAGCTACAGCTCGCGGTATACTGAGACAGCCGCTGCCGGGACGGATCCCGACATTACTGTCGAGATCCCCCCAGCTGCGTGAGAGTGACAGCTGCCTCTGCCTATCTAGAGGCAGAGCCAGCTGTACCCGCCCCCTCCCCCGTTCGTTCCTTCAGTCAGCGCGGGAGGATCGGAGGGGGGGGGGGATCCCTGCAGGGACAGGGTAGAGAAGTGAGCGAGCGACGGTATGCGTTCGCTCACATCTCGATCTATTGAGTCGACGTGTGACAGTTTCATTGTCACACGTCGGCTCGAACTATGAGGCTGAGTGAAAATCACTCACCTCATAGTTCTCCTTTAAAGTTTGAAATTTGGCGAGTGGCCCCATGGGAGAAAAATTTTTGTCGAGTGGCCCCCGAGGGAATTTAGTTTGAGACCCCTGGTGTAAGGGAAACCATGGATAGAGTCTGACATCACTACCATGTGCTTACCAGGAATGTGAGGCTCACTTGCATGGCCATTGGAGGAGAAGAGAGGAATGAGGGAAGGAGGAGATGAGACTGACTTTTTTTTTCTTTTTTCTCTTCTTTCCAATTCATCTTGGTTTTTTGTTTGTGTTTGGTGGGGTTTTTTGGGTGGTTTAGGGATGGGAGAGATTTTGGGTTGTCGTTTTCCTTGTTTTTTTATTTTTTAGTGGAGACCCCCGGGGGGGGGGGGGGGGGAGAAGAATGGTTTTAATACCAATGGGAAGGGAAATTTATATCATTGTTTTAGGAAGAAGCTATGAATATCTTTCTCTTCTGTTTCTGATTGGATTTCTCCCTGGGAGAGTCTTTTAACAGGATGTTTACATATTGTTTATATGTTTGTATTGTTATATATAGAAACAATAAAGAAATATTATACACATTTTTTTAAGTTAGGTTGGGAGTGCTTAGGTCAAGATGTTATTGCAGTTTGTGCCCCTATGACTTTGTTTAGAGGGGCGTTAAATGCAAATGTTCTAATTTTATCACTTTTACAAAAGAAAAAAAAATCTAAAAACTTTTGCTTACTTGAAATTAGTCGATGGCATTTTGCAGCTTAACAAAATATTCCTATGTTTTTACTAACAAGGTCAGTAAATGCATTCTTCGTGGGCCACAAAAATATAAGTATTGTGTTCCTTTTGATCCTTACAGAAGCAAGCATGAAAAAAATTACAAAATATATTGTTAAATGGCAAATATTGTGCTAGCACAATACACAATAGATCTATGCCCATTCTGGGACAAATTCCTGCCACAACCATTCAACAATTCAGTCTGGGTAGTCTTTATTGGGCTTAGCAAAGTTTAACTCGGTGAGGAAGAAGTCAATGCTCTGTGAATAATGGGTAGTTGAGAAAAAAAGTCAAGGGTTGCCTGCACAGCATTGTTGATTTCAATCCCACTATGCACTCGATAAGTTGTTTGTATGTGTTTTTTCCATGATGAAATAAAGCTGTGATATATTATTTAGGAATTAATTTTGAAAATAAATATATTTCTTTCAGTGCCAAATGAACCACAAAATCTTGCTGGAAATGCAACTGGTATTGCCGAAATATTTATAGAATGGACACCACCTGGGGATGTTCACGCCAGTTCATATGAGTACCTAGTGGCATGGAATAATGTAAATCTAACCGAAGACAAAGGACAGAATACAACAAAGGACACACATTTTTATATCAAAAGCCTATTTCCAGGAAATCTCTATACAATAACAGTAACGTCTGTATTCAGGAATACTTCTAGTATAGGGGCTGTAAAAATGATATCAACCAGTAAGATCATTTTTCTTCATTTTCTTATCTTTTGTAGTACATAATTTTGTAGTACATAATTTAGTAGTAAGTAGTAATAATGTAGTTTTTATGACTGAGAAGTTATTCTTTACTGATAGGGTGTCGAGAAGTGAACCAAAATGCCATACTACCAATCACAATAGTAAACATTAGAGGACACCTAGATGAACCAACGCAGTCCAACTGTCCACTGTGTTATCTCTCAGCCAGTGGGTCTATAAACATGCAAACTCAGTCCAATGAGTAGCAAGTTTAGACAATAAAGAGGGGGCAGCCACTGCAAAGAGAGGGAAAGTCACTGCCAAACACATCTGACACCAGGTTGTCAGCAGGTGTTATGGAATTATCCACAGATACATTATTATTGTTTGATCTACAAAAAATGGCCAAATTGAGCAACTGACTTCTTGTGACTCTGGGTACCCCCCGGGTACCCTTACGACCCAGTGTGGTAAAGTGGAACTGCCCACTTTACCACACTGCATTGAAACATGATGTGTTTCTGTTCTGCCATTCATTTTGAAGGGTACCCCAATACACATATGCAACACACCTGCAATAAAGCATGCTGTGGAGAGTCAGATGATATGGGTTGCAGTGTGCTGTAGTGTTAAAGTAGTTATTTTTTTGGTGCCATTTTTACTATATTGGGGTCATTGAAAATAAATGGCCTGCAGAAACATAATTCACCTCAATGCGTGATAAAGCGGTTGCTGCTTTTTCGGCCATAGTGGTAAAAATGTATATTTTACCATTTCTGTAATAAAATGTATTAAAAAAAGGAAGTACATTTGGAGAACTGTTTAGAAAGTATAAAATGTTAACACTGTTCTAGTTGGAATGTTTGATAATCTTGCATGTGATAAAGCCAAACCAGCCTTACTCCAAAAGACAATGTAAAATTTGCTTGGTTGCTATGGGTATTCTGACTCCGATTGTTGTATTAGCAATTTAACCTTTGCTGAGACCTCTATGCCTGGCCTGTATAAGCAGATATAATCACTGCGCACAATCCTTATCAGATAGCTGAGCTTTATTGCATGCAGCAGGTTACAGCAGACAACATGCTTTAGCAGATTAATGAATAGACTGTATTTGAAGGTCAAGGATGACAATGTTTCCAAGCTAGCATGTACATGGGGTTCTACTATAAGCAGGTATGACACTAACACTAGTTCTTATAGAAGGGGGGGGATACATCATAGATAATAGATCGCCTATATGTGAAACACCCGGTAACGGGTGTGTGCATTTAGCGGGTCTTTTCTGCCCGTGCGCGCGCGAGCAGAAAAAAATTGCCGTCTGGAGACGGCAACCCGCAGATGCTGCAGTGCCGTCCGTCCGTTTTTTTACTACGGGCGGACGGCAAGAGGTTAAGGAAAACTAACTATGTAAATTCTCACTTCACATATTTGTATGGACACCAACTATGGGGGTTATTCACAAAGCTAGCCGAAGGATCGAACCGATGGGCTGCTATTCACTATAGCCCATACAGCTCCCGAAGGTGGCCGAGTGGCTCAGCCGAGCAGAATAGCCGAGCGCATTTGGCTATTCACTCACTGCCATTTGGCCTCTATGTGAATAGGGGGCGAACGGCAGCGAGCGATCTGCCGGAGCTTTGGCTCAGCCGATCCAAATGCACTTCGGCTCAGCCGAACATCTTTGGGCTTAGTGTGATAGCAGTGTTCAATAAGGACTAACCTTGCAGTAGTGCATTCAGGCCTTGTCCATTTGGAGAAATGTTCAAAGCATTGACAGCCCAAGATAAATCTTTGCCCTGATCTGGTGACAAGGGTTTTGACTTCAGGACGAATCTCTAGATCGTTGTAAGGATGTAGAAGACTGAAGACATCAGATGTGGTTTCTTCTGGATGATCCAGAAGGAATTAAGCACCTGTTGACCAAGAAGAATTTGCAGACACTGGCCTGGTAGCATGATCTGCAGGATTAATTTCAGATGGAACATAATTCCACTGTTAAGGTTGAGAGGATTTCCTGATACATTCTACACGGTTGCTGACAAAGAAATGTTTTGTCTGATTGTATATGTAGCCCAGAACAACTTTGCTGTCTGTGTAGAACGTCATGTCATCTATCTGAATGTCTAGCTAACTCAGTATGAAATCTGCAATTTCTACAGCTAGCACAGTCCCACAGAGTTCAAGCTTAGGAATTGTGTGTTCAGGCTTAGGTGCTAACTTAGCTTTCCCAAACAGAAACCCTACATGGGTTTTAGTAAAAGAGTCTCTCACGTTGAGGTAGGCGACAGCTACTATGGCCTCAGTAGATGCATCTGAGAAGATGTGAATCGCTCTTCTTTGACTTGCAGCAAGGGAAGCTGAATTGTAGCAGCGTGGTATGTGAATTCAATCTAAAGCATGTAAAGATTGCTTCCAGGACTCACATCCTGAATTTCTGTCTGTTGGCAGTGGAGCATCCCAATCTATAGTAGTCTCTAATAGCTATCTCAGTAAGAATTTACCTTGTATGGTGATGGAGCCACAAATCCCAGTGGATCGTATAGGCTGTTCACCACTGACAGAACACCACGTTTTAAATGGCTTATCTGCAGATCTGACTTGAAAGCCAAAAGGTCTCTTTTAATAAGTCCCACCCTAAGCCTAGACTCATGTCTATTCCCAAATTTGGTTGAAACAGGTTGAAAGGCTTTCATAACAGCAGCACTATTTGAAGCAATCTTGTGTAGTCTCAGGTTAGCCTTAGAAAGCATACCTTGAGTCCTTTGAAGCAGGTCCATGGATTCTTCGAGAAGAGGAGAATCATCTTGCATGATGACTGGTGTAGAAGACTCAGATGAGTTTCCCCAAGATGTTTACTGCTTGTGAAGTTACTTGAGTGATGCTTGAGAACTCAGGTGCATTGTCCTGGGTGTTTGCATCAGTGTATTCCTGCACATCTGAGCTGTTGAAGGAAATCTGGTGCATAGTCTGACCAGAACTATTGCAGGGTGGTCCTTTTGTGAGAGGCTAATGTTAATGAGCTCACGGCATATCATATATCTGGCGAAGTCAGACAGGTCTGATCTCTCACGATTTGGTGCCAAAGTAACTTGTGGAACCCCTTGGGTGTGAAAGTTCTCTGGTAAAGAAGGGCGAGGTATACTAGGATAAAATGACGTTGTAAGAGCATTTTAGCTGTGGTGTAGTCTCTAAGGCTTCTGCTGGCTGTGGTTTGAACTGTGGCTTGTCGCTGGAAGTCACCTTGTCGTTAGCATGAGGCGATTTTGTTTGCTGCGTAGATACATTTGTGTTGTGGACTTGAAGAGGCTCAGGCATTTGGTGCTGAGAGGTCTCTGTGTTGAGTCAGAACAGTGTTGTTATGAGGTACAGGAGATGACTGTCGTTGCAAACATTATGCTTCAGCACATATTCACTAGTGTCTTCAACTGGGTCTTCCAGTTCTGCTGGGATAAGACAGTCTGAATTAGTACTTTGACACATTGCTTGTTCAAGGACTTTCAGCCTTGCTAAGGCAGCTGCTTTTTCCCTTTCCATTTGCAGAATCCACACTTTATTCAGTTCCGAATTTGTGCCGGCCTCTATCAGCTTCTCGCTTAATGTTGAGCTTCTGGAGCGAGAGGATCTAGAAGAACGTGCAGTGAGCTTGGTTGATGTGGATTTGTAAGATCTGATCTCCTGCAGTTGAGCAATGCGGCGTTCTGCCTTATCCTTAGCAACTTGCACTAAGAGATCCCTTTGTTGGTTTAGTGCATCAGCCTGTGTTAGTTCTGCTGAAGAGTCCTCTATATTAGAGTCCTTTAACTCCTTGGGCGGGCGGCGGATCCTTCCCGGCGTGGTCACGTAAATGTACGTCTTTTTTTTCTGGGCGCGTGCACAATCCCGCGGGGAAGTATTACAGCCGTTACCGACTGTCTCATACAAGCGTTTGGCCGGCTCTATAGCCGGCCAATCGCTTGAATTACCTCATATGGTGCGCCCCCCCTTCGCTGCCGGTTATCCCGGGCACCGATGTCCCCCCCTGCGGTGCCCAGGACCGAGAGGACCGGTACTGCGGCTGCTCGAAGAGGGAAGGAGGAGAGATCAGCATTTCCCACCGCTTCCCCACCTCTCCCACTTCTCTACTCTAAAGTGAGAAGTGATGTGTATTACATCACTTCCGCCTTTAGCTGTCATTTCTCTGGCTGGGAGCCAGAGAAGAAGCAGATCTCTGCTTCATCAGCGTCTTTGGGGGTCCCTTGGTGACATTAGGGGTCTTGGGGACCCTGTCACTATTAGGAGGACCTGTCATTTTTTTCTAGCTATCACATTGGGGGCTTTTTAGCCCCCTATGTGATAGCAATCAAGTTAAGTGTCAAAAATAAATAAAAAAGTCTCATATTAAAAATAAAATAAAATAAAAAAACTCAAAAAAGTTTCAAGTCTCCCGCTTCCGCACGCACTTATATACATAAATACGCGTCGGGCATGCTTACGTGCAACAGCGATTGCGCCGCACGTTACATACCGCCGCAAACGTCGCTGTGCGAGCAATAATTCTAGGCCCATCAATCACTGATAACACTAAACTGATGAGGGGTAAAAGCTTTTTTAGGCATGGTAGTTTTTTGCGATTTTGTGGGCGCACGCAATATTAAAGCTGGTCATGTTTGGTGTCTATTTACCCGACATGACCCCGTCTTTTATATTTCACCAAAAAATTAGGTCATAATAAAATGTTTTATAAAACATAACGTAGGGGAAAAAAATGTTTTTTTAATTTTCGGTCCTTTTTTTGTTATATAGTAAAAAATCAAAACCGCAGTGGTGATTAAATACCACCAAAAGAAAGCTCTATCTGTTCCTAAAAATTGTATAAAATTAATTTCAGTACAGCGTTGCATGACGGAATAAATGTCAAAGTACCGCAGCGCTGAATACTGAAAAATGGCCTGGACAGGAAGGGGGTTTAACACCCCGGTCAGCAAGTGGTTAAGAAAGCTGTTTATTTGCAGACAGCCATTGGTAACGTTCAAAGGCAGCAGATAGGCAATCTATAGAGTCTCTTGATTCAGCTGGTTGATCATTAAAGTGACATTAAAAGGATAATCCCCCCTCCCCCCAATGTTAGTGTAAGGACTTACCTTAAATCATGCCTCTTAATCCAATCATCTTCTTCTTTAGTGTAGTTTTCAGATGTCCCTCCAGAGCCAGTGTGCATCTCCGATCCGGGCAGACTCCTCTGTCCTCTTCTTCTGACGTCCCATGGAGTCTGTGCGGGTGCACGCTGCTCCATAGATTTACCTTGTGTTTCTCTTCGTCTCCCGGCCGAAGATCTGTGCTGTGCATGCGCCCGCCCCATGATCCTTTGTGGCCGCCCGAGAATCTTCAGATCTTCGGACAGGAGCACGCGGCGAAGACGCGGGTAAGTTTAAACCTGTTTGAAAGGAGTTTAAAAAAAAAAAAGTTTTTGCATATATCTACTGCTGGCTAGCAGTAGATATATGCAAAAACACATTGAGGGTTTAGTAACCCTTTAAAGTGTGGAAAAACTGAAATGCAGAGTGAAGTTCTGTCCCATAGGTCTGACAGATTGCTGGAGAACTCATCTCTAGTGTTTTCGTAGTTTTCTCTGAGTTTCTGTGTCGGTTTTATTGTGCGTTTTGCACTCTGTTCGGCAATATCTGCAGAATCTGCTCCCTGTATGTCTGCAGTGTCAGAGGCATGATGTATCTGCATTGGTTGAGCCATAATAGGAGAGTGTTAAGAGCCTTGTCTAGAAATAGTTTACGTTTTTGCGGGGGAAAAAAATGGTACTGTCTCTTTAAGAAGACAAACAGCAGCATAGACAGGTGGGATAACACAGTTCAATGCAGAGAAAGTTTTTAACATTCACAGGTGAAGTGCAGTAAGCTTGTGTGACCATGTGCTTTCACAAGATGGCAGATGGCACTGAGCTTGATGGCAGATTAGGCACACACATACTGTATACCCAGATGGCTGTAGGAATTCTAACATCCTTGACTATTCTGATTCAAATTGTTGTATTAGCGATTTATTCCATGCGGAGACCTCTATGCCTGGCCCGTATGAGCAGATATCGCTGCGGACAATCTTTATCAGATAGCTGAACTCACCAAATACCTTTTCATCAACAAAAAGCTTTATTGCACAGATTGTTGCTTTATTGTTACAGAAGACAACAGGATACAGCAGATGAATGAATAGATGGTATTTGAAGGTCAAGGATGATAATGTTTCAAAAGGTAGCATGTACTTGTGGTCCTGCTATAGGCAGCTATGACACTAACACTAGTTCTTGGAGGAAATACATCATAGATGGGAGGGAACACATAAAAACATGGCGCAATAACCAAAATGCCTACAAGATGGCTGTATAATAACCGGCTATACAACCAGCTATAATACATGGCTTGAGGAAAATTTACTATGTAAATTCTCACTTCACATTTGTATGGACACCAACTATGACTATGAATTGTGTGATATTTTTACAACTGTACAACAGCACAATGGGCTACTGCACTTCAACATTATTGTGGGATTGTACACCCAATTAAAGCATACCTATACCCCCTTTCACTAAAAATCACCTCAGCATGCAGCTCTGCATACTGATATGAAGTAATCTTACATTCATTAGTTAAACATATTTTTCTTTTACTTACAATTATTGTTTTTCCACTTCCTGGTCCCCTTGGGCATTGGTGATGTAATGTGTCCAAGCGTTGCATCCTGGGAAGGTTACATCAGCAGTGCATTGCAGGTAAATGTCATCTGAAATCTCACAAGGTCTCAAAGGCATTTTTCTCCCCTGAGATGATGTGCATGGTCACACATCCTAGTATCATGTGCCAGAGTTCCATGAAGTAAAGGAAGATGGATTCATCTGCCCTTAGTAAAAATGACCACTGTGAGAAGAATGGGGTGGGGAAAAAAATAAGGTATACAAAGAATAAAAAGCCTGCAATTAGCTAGAAATATGCGATTTGTAGATTGCCATTACTAAACATTTCTAAAAGGTAAATATTTGTTGTCATTTCAAAGATATGAGCACATGAGCAAAGATTGTGGGAAACTATAGGTAGCGGCCCCTTTATTGCGTTTTTTCTCAATTTTAACCATGCAATAGACTTTAACCTTTATTGCCAAACAGAACCATTAACAGACCACTATACTTAGTCCTCAAGACTCATGCAGCAATAACTTACACCAACCAAATGACCAACCACCACTGTCCACCCACAAACTGAGTGACAATACCCCTTAAAGACTGACTGTAACTAGGCAAAGTAGAGCAATAGGGAGGGTTAGCTGGTCAATAGAGCCAAAAGGAAGGCTAAACATAATGCAGAGGTACGTCCAGCTGCCAGCCTGAGGTAATTATTGACACTGCCCACTGACGGGAGTGATTATAGGAGGTGAAAGGTTTTACTCATTAGCCATTATGAATTTTTTCACAAATAACTGGACTTTGCATTTTAATGGTCTGTTTTAAGAAAATGTATTAGAATGTCCATAACCTGGCAGCAGGTTCTCATTAAAGTTTGCTTTCTCTAGACATGAAAAGAATTGATTCATATTCTAATGTAATTATAATATGATTTTATTGTTATTTAAAGAGGAAAATTTATATTGCAATTACTTTGGTTTTTTTTCCTCTCTTTTTTTCAAGTGCCATCCATTGTCAGAACCTTTACAGTTACCTCCAAAACAAATCAGTCTGTGGTACTTAACTGGATGTTTCCTAATGATAGTTATGCAAGCACATATACATATACTGTGGAGGTAATTAATGGCAGTCTCAATCGCAATATTTCAAATATTAAAGACAATTTCACAAAAGTGGAGGACTTGCTAGCGGGAGAAACATACAATTTCACCATCTACACTATAAACGGTTATGGCATCTGGAGCCATGAATATCAATTTATCATAGCTACAACAAGTAAGTTTATGTTTTGCTATAAACTAAAATTAGACTTTTTTAGGATTATAGCTTAAAAGGGAATGTATGTTTTGTTTTATTGTGATTAAAGAGGGTGTATTGTTGGTATTG